ACCATACCAATTACCTTGTTTTTTCATACCAATTCTGCTACATAACTCATGTGGATTTTTTTGGAGGGGAATGGAATGTGAATTTTTTTTGGGGGGGTGGTAGTAATGGGGTTTGAACTCAGAGCTTCATACCTACTAAGCAGGTGCTCTGCCACTTGAGCCATCCCTCCAGTTCTATTTTTTTTTCCAAAATAATTTGTTACCTCACTTTACACTACCCACGCCTGGGGCATTCACAAGGTGACATATTTGCACACCCAACTGAATGATGACCTGTATTGTTTGGAAGAAAAGTACAATACATGCTGTGGTCTAATCTTTAGATTCTGTCCACTCCAGGGGATTTCAGAGTAGAGCTAGTCAGCTTTCCTTTGTAGTATACCAATCAGCAGGGGCAAAAGAGGGCCATACTGGAATGAAGGAGAATCAGGGACATCGGTGTCCTGGAGTTCTAATAGTACTCAGAAGTCTGTGTTTTATCCTCTCATCTGAAGAGCTGTGTGTAAATGGGCAATGCTTCTGAATACCCTCTGCTGCTGGTGAAAATACACAGCACTTCAAAATAGGCTGCTTTGTAGAAAACAATTTGCCACATCCCAAATTCTGAGTATAGCAAACACTGAAGTAAAACTGTCTGGATTAACAATGGAGTAAGAGAGAGTAATTGCTAGCCATCTTTAAAAATGGTGCTCAGGCACTACCTTGCTGATAAGCAACATTCTGTATCTGTTTACACTTGATGTCCACTGGAAAGATCAATGAAGACAGTGAAAGTGCCTACTTTGTGGCTGGATCTCCACAGACAGCTCAGTGCCTGGCCCTAGAACAATGCTGAGTAAATGCTTGTGGAACTGATGAGAAGGTGGGTACACCTCCTCTTCCTGAGGGGACCCACTGAAAGATGAAACATGTAAATTAGGCAAAAGATTAAGAGGTAGTTGAATGAGATAGCCAGGGTGTTTGGGCTTAGGAAAATGCTAGGATATTCCTCAGTTTATGCTTGCCTGAAAGAATAAGTCACTTTTCCCTGCAAACATTTTATACCACTTACAAAAAAAGAGCTTTACAAAGAACTTATTTTTGTGGGTCGAACACAGAAGTTGACAATACCAATAAAAATTTCTATAGTTCTCAGTATAGGTTGACCTTCCATCATCTGAAGATTAATAATCCAAAATGCCTCCCAAATCCAAAAACTGTATGAGCACCAACCATACCCCAAGGAAAAAAATCTATGCTTGGCCTCATGTGTGTGGGATCACAGTAAAAAAAATATGGATAACACACAGATTATTCAGTGTCCCCAAGGGGAAAAACACTCTCCCAGACTCTTCATTTGCATACACAGATTTTGTTTCATGCATGAAGTTATTAAAATACTGTAGAAAATTACCTTCAGGATGTGGCTATAAGGTATATATGAAGCATAAATAAATTTTGTGTTTAGACTTGGGTCCCATCCCCAAAATATCTCATTACATACTTATAAATATTCCAAAATCCAGAAACTGAAATCTAACATCTGGTCCCAAGAATTTCAGATAAGGGATACTCAGCCTGTATTAGTCATAGAAATCATAGGCCAACAGTAATCACTACAAAAGGTCAGTGTAAATAAAATAGCCATGTGGGAATTGCTCTAATTTTCTAAGAACAAAGTTTCCCTTGGGACCTTGAATTAATATGAAATGCCATTATCTAAACTGATGCTCTATGTAGAGCAGACTGTGTTTCTTCAAAATGAATTAGCTAAAACCAAGTTCTCCCTTAGAGTCTAAGGTTCAAGCAGAAATGTGTTATCACGTGTAACAGTGTAAGATCATCTCTGTTTGCAATAAGCAGAGAGAAAAAAATCTATCATGTCAGGAGAAGTAAATCAAAACTATGTGAAGTTGAGACTTCACTTTCAGGGGTCCAGTCATTCGTGACAGCATGTCACATCCCAGAAGCCAGAACTGGCCCCAGATTTCTTTAGTTTCTATAGGTTGCTAAGTGGTTTAAAGACCCAGCAAACTAAATGAATAGATGTGTAGTTTTGAAAGGAGACTGATCTTTGATGAACTAAAAGAGAGATATTATGGAGGTAAAGAATGAGCTTGGGGACTCTTCTCCAGCTTATGGATCCTTTGGCAATCCAGAGAAGAGAAGATAGCTACAAAGATGCTGACAGAGGCAGGAGAAGCCAGCACCTTTTGCTTTACACCTCATTGGAACATCCTGCCCTCATCCAGTTTTGAGGGGCCTTCAACTAGACCTGTTGACTTCATTCATGACTTTTTAGGATCATGAACTAGTATGTGAAGATCTAAGCTTTCCAGTTTGTCTTCTGTAGATAAGGAAATAACATTTTTTATTAGCATGTAATAGTTGTACAGAAAGGATACATTGTACCATTTACATATGTGCTTACATATATCTTAGTTAGCTTCATCCCCTCTATCTTTCCCCCTCATCCATCTCCCTTCTCAGAACTAAGAAAATATCATTTTAGAAGAAATAATTTCAAATACACCAAAGAATCTACTTCATTTCTGTTTAACCTTCTCCAACAGAAAAAGAAAAAGAAGATCACTTGGGATAGATATAATTAATAAATATAAGATAGGGTTGCCTGAGATTATACTTGTGATAACCTTATGATGTTGAATTGGTGTTAAAGAAAGTGTTGTTCAGTGGGAGTCAGGCAGGCTTGCTTCTAGTGCTTTGACCTTGACAAAGTCATTTGAAATTGCTGGGTATCAGTCTTCCCGATGCCAGGGCTGGCCCTGATACAGAGTACTTGAGAGGCCTGTGCTTGGCCAGGACTGCTGCATCTCCCTATGCTTTCATCTAATCTAATAAAGTTTTGGTGAACAAAAAATAAAAAAACAAAAAGTGATAATATTTTAAAGGTCCTTGATGACTTGGGTTCTTAGGACAAAAAAAATAGCTTACTGTCTTAATTGTATACCTGTGACATAAGGAGAACATTTAAAACTCTCCATAATCTCTAGTTCTCTTCTCCTGCCCATTCCGTTTTTAAAACCCAGGACTCTGCTGGCTAAAATATTCCAAGAGTTCCTGTACAACTCCAGGAGCACCATGCACACCAAAGCAATGAAATCTTTCCCAGAGTCAGTGCTCCTAAGGAAGAGGCTTTAGAGATGTGCAGCCTGAGTTGGAATTTTATCTCCATTACTGACTAGTGATATGACCCTAGGCTAGTTATTTAACAATCCCTCTGATCTTGCTTCCTTCTCTGTAAAGTGGACATACTAAATGATATTTCTAGAGACTGCTTTAAAAACTAGGTACGATAACATATGTAAAGAGTCTGGTGGAGGACAGTATACCAACACCAGTATTCTCTAAAAAAAAATCACAAAATTGTATATTTCATAGTACAATAAACAATCGTATCTAGTACTTATTGCTCAAGTATAGGGAAATAACAGAAGATTTTGTCAAATTATGATCAGATTTCATTTCCAGGTATACAAAAGTTAAAGGGGTCAGATTATAGTGATCTCAGAAACATGTAATTTTTAAGTCAGAACTGTGATAACTGGCAGAAACGAAGATTAATTAGAGTACTAATTCAGTAGTGTTTGTTGGTACAACTGCTATCAAGGATAAGCAACTGTTTAAATAAGACAGACTATGTTCATTAAGGACATATGTTGTGCCAACAGGTTACAACATGCTTCACACAAGTTGTTTTGCCTTCCTAAGGAATGCAGGACCAGTTAATATTTACTGCGCTAAATCCTTTCTTAGTTCCCTAGTTAAGACGCAATTAACCAGCTGGGTCCTGGTGGCTCACACCTGTAATCCTAGCTACTCAAGAGGCAGAGATCAGGGAGATCATGGTTTGAAGCCAGCCCAGGGAAACAGTTTGAGAGACCCTATCTCAAAAAAACCCACCACAAAAAATAGCTGGTGGAGTGGCTCAATGTGTAGGCCCTGAGTTCAAACCCCAGCACCATAAAAAAAAAAAGAAGCAATTAACCTGCATAATCATAATTACAGATTCTCAAAATGATAGAACTAAGAAGATTTTAGGTATCTAATCTACTCTCTACATGTTACACCTGTGGAGACCGAGGTCAAGCGAGGGTAAAAGCCACACCCACAGTCACAATAGGCAAAGGCAATTCCAATACTTGATCTCATTAGTGTATCCTTTTTCCAACTATAGGAACGCAATCTTTAGTTTTATCCAAAACACACGCCAACAATTTCACATTAGAAATATGGCTTCTATCCCAACTCTGCATCATCTAGGGTTCAAGTAGAAGATATTATGAGAGATACACTTAATCTCTAATGTGATTTTCATTTAACATTTGATTAAGGCAAATTTGGTGCAATAAAAAACATTTTTTTAAAACCAAAACAGGTCAATGAAAAAGACCAGTGACATAAAAACTCTTCCCCCAGCTTGCAGAATGACTGGCATGGAGTTTATGTTTTCAGCTGTGTGAATTCTTTGAACGAAATGTGTAAGCACCCTCTAAATGTTTCTCCTTGTGTTGCCAGTGCTGATACACGCCCCACAACCCTGGCTTAGCACTCGTCCAAACTCCTCTCTGTGTGTCACTCAGGAATAAACATGAGACTGTCTGTTATTTGAAAGGAAGAGACAGCATCTGTTGGAATCTTTATATTAGTAATTGGAAAATATCTTGAGAAATAACAGGAAAAAGCAACCTGGAAAATGCTATGCTGCAATGGAATTATAGAAAAGAAACCAAACTGACAGGTTTTTCTAATAAAGGGTTAGGCTTATTCTTCTAGCACAAATAGTATTAGCTAAGTGACTAATCCTTCTAAAAAGACCAGCTTTGGCCTATATCTAGATTCAGCATATACTGAAGTCCCTAAAATAGTTCGAATGCTGTCTAGCTCTGGGCATTTTGATTCTTTTATTTATTTCGAATTATATCCCTGAACACATAACTTTTTACACAAAAGCAAATATAAGGAAATAGGATGAAAAAGTCATATAAATGCGCACTCACCTCCCATAATTTTGGATTGGCAGTTAATAAACTCCGGCTTCCTGTCGGTGAGGTACCTCTGACAGGTGTGGTGGAGGATCTGGAAGAAGGTGCATTTTTCTGAGGCTGTACTGGCTACCCACTGGTCAAAAGTATTTTCAAACAGCAAATCAAACTCTGCAGAATCCTGGAAAAGACAGTGAAATAACTACTCATCTCAAGCTATAGAAAATGTTGCTTCTAGCTTCACCCTGCCCGAAGACCCACAAAGGCAAAAACAAATACGGTGGTTCCAGTCATAAGGTTCATCTTTAAAAGGACCCAAGTGTATCAAGAGTCCAAGATAAAGCGTTCTCTCTTTATTGAGCAAAATCCAAATCTTACAAATGTCCTTAAGAATACTACACCACAGAAACCAAGACATCCTAACTACACATTGACTTGTGCCAGAACTCCCACCACGTATTATCTTTTACTTGGAAAAAGATATTGGCAGTGGCTTTTATTAATCTTCTCCTTACACTTTGGTAGGAAAATATTCCTACTTGATATTTTAGTATATGGTAGCAAGTAACATATTCTTCTTCATTACTGATGTTTTGGGGTGGCAGGTGTAAGTATGTGTACATACGTGTGTGTATTTGTGCACGTGAGCAAAAGGGAATGGGGATTTTGAAAAGAAATCAGTAGCATAAAACATTTCTTTTACTAAGTCAAAAGGAAAGATAATGTAATTTTAAAGTGTCATTAAATTTATTTGATTTTTAGTACATGATCCTTGTCATCAGTGGTGTTAGGAAATAACAAACCTTTGATGAACATAGTGTATTTGCATTGGTAATCCTGAGCATTGTGATCTGAACCCTGCCCTTTGCTGAAAAGCGTTGCTACAGGCAGTATTTCTTCCATAGGCATCCCTTAGGTTCCTTCATCAAACATGCCAAAAATATGTGCAATTTCCCATAGGTAGGGGATGGCACTAGGAAGTTTTAGTTCCATAACAGAAGTAGAGAAATAGCCTTGTTAAGAATGATTCAAACCATCACCACCACTCCCAAGGACAGAGAGACTTGTCTTGTGAAGAGAATTCCTTTGCTCAGCATTGGAAAATTCACTCACCCGATTAGGATCGATACCATTAACCTGGCGAAGCTGCTCAAGCATCCACTGTGACCTCCGAACGAATGACGTGGAGCCCTCAAACTGTTTGACCTTCGTGATAGACGCCTGTGTGGGTTTCTTGTTTGTCACTGCCAAGAAAAGGCCATTCAGATTAGTGGGCCTGCAGGTTGGTTTATTTCCTCATTCAGTGTTGTTTCTATATGATATCTATTATGCACATGCTGAGAGAGAGAGAGAGAGAGAGTGAGAGAAAGAGGAGGGAGAGGAGAAAGAGAGGGGGAAAGAGGAAGAAAGGGGGAGAGAGAGGGAGAGAGAGATGGGGGAGGGAAAGAGAGAGACGTGGGGAAATGAATGTGTGCCTTTGGTGAGGGGAGAATGCAAAAGAAAAAAGTTATATTCTCTCCTCTCAAGCAGTTTATAATAAAATTGTAAAAGCTACTCCATTTGTGTATTTCCCCAAACTGATCATGACTTAACTAATACCAAGCACCTTTAACGGAGGCTACAAAAGTATAATTGTAGCTTGAAGGGGAAGAAGCACACAGGGCTGGTGGGCATCAGGTAGGTTTCAATAGGGAGGCTGAATTTTTAAGAAAGTGAAGGACTCTGCTCCTGGGGAATTACAATGCTTATTTCTAGTTTTATGATCCAGTGGAAACATCTAAGGTTTCGGTGATAAGGAGTAAGACTTCATTTGCCAAACATGTAAGTAAAATAAAAAGAACTACCTGGCTTTACAACAGCATCAAGTTCACATCTAGTTTGCATCTGATTTCGGCTGTCTGTGGCATTCTGGGCACCAACATGAATTCCTGAGGTCACTACACCTGCAGTACAGGACAATCTTTCCTCCCAGTCTCAGCCAACAGCTCCCTTCCTGTGCTGCAGATGGACAACATCAACTCTCGGACTGATGTCAGGCACCAAGAAAGAGGCACCCCAATATTTCTCATTGATTTATTTGTGATTTAGAGAGTTGAGGATGGTGGGAGAGGTAATTTGAGGTCTTCACGGGCCTTCCTCCAATCCCCTCCTGAGCCTTAGGCATAGGCGGTAGTAATATTAGATAGAACTGATGCCATGAAGGAGTTAGGGAAAGTGGAAAACACCACTGGCCGCAATGAATTTGATCCCAATCACTGCCATGGAGAACTGTGCATCCATGGTATGCACTTTCTTTATTTTCAGTAACTGTGCACATGTTCAATAGATGGTAAAAGAATTCTTGAAGGATGAGGCATAGAAAGCTCTTTCTTCAATCATAGCTGGTGGTAAGAAGCCTTTACAGTTCATGCATGCCAAGGCCTATTGCAATGTCAGTGTCTGGGGTCACTGAAGTAGGACAGCAGAGATTAAGAGGGGAGAATGAAAGGTGACTACTCTGTCTTTAGATATGGCCCCAGCCCTGAAGACTGCCTTTAAGGCTGCAGTATAAGCTCCCTTTGCTCCTAACTAGAATTTAGCAAACTTTTAAAAACTTCAAATAATGCTTTAGTTTACTACCCATTATTTTAGTTACATTTGGCTAAAAGCTTCTGAACATTTCACACCAATTACATTTACTCTAGAGGTCCAGAAGTCATCATCCCTTAATACCTATGATCACAGGGAGTTTTATAGTCACACATGGCCTCTTTTAACAGGCTCAAGGCCTGATATGTTCCATTAGGAACAAACATTCCCCGAAATACATTCAGGCAATATTACCAGTGTGCTCAGGGCTCTATCCATCCATTTATTTTGACTCATTTATTTTTTTTGTGTGTGTGTGTGTGTCTCCTATGACATAAATGGGAGACCTAACAGGTTTTTCTGATAGTTGTACTCTGCTCTTATGTTTTATTGTTAAAAGAAACAGTACTCCTGGAATATATGCAGGCCCTAAAATGTGCTTAAAAGATTAAAGAATGATTTTCAATAACAGGAAAACATGGGTTCCTGTATTAGACACACACCCCTAAAAACACAAAGAGGATTTCCTCCCTTGTTTATGTAAATCACATGACATCTAAGCATCCTGGGAAACTGTAAAGCTTTCCTTCTAATTTCAGTTAAAGTTATTATGAACTCCTGTTTTTATTTGGGGTCCATTTGTTTCCAAGTAGTTTACAGCATTATAAAAGATCAAACACAATATAGGATCACAGTGTGTTCCTTCTATGCTTAAGATGCACATTTTAGGAAGGCAAGTTCCACTGGACTTTTGTCACTGGAGTGAGGCAGGCAGGAACCCCACCCACAAAGACAAGTTTCCCTACCGAATTCCTCAACCATGAACATGCTGTAAAGCAGTCATTTTAACTGGAGAAGGTTACAACTCTATCCGTTCCTGCCTTTTTCCCCTATTAGTTTATTGCTTGCCCAATTCTTGGCATCTGGCTAGTTTTCCTGGGCACTGAGCCTGGTTTTATTTAATTTTTGTTTATTGTTATTATCTCCAACATCCTAGTTTCTTTTTTTGAAGCAGGTGCCTGAAAATTGTATTATTATATACATATTATATAGAATTAGTTAAAGACATTCCCCTTCTGAAATCAAAACACTTGTACAAACATATCATGGCCACACTTTTTGGATATAACCACGGTTTAATCCCTTCCTGGCATTGGTGTCTTGAGGGTCTATAGCTTACAGATAAGTAAAAGTAAGTGATGTGAATTTCAGATGGCTAGTGGAAAACAGAAATTTATCTTCCCCTTCCAAAGGAAAGCTAATCAAAAACACACCTGGAAAATGCAGCCTTATTACCTGGATGAATAATTTTATAGTGCTGTGTGCCCACTATATACTACAGGCTCCCAAATTCATCCTCAATTTTATTAGCATGCATTAATAGTATGGGGTTTCATCATGATACTTCCATAGATGCATACAGTGTACTTTGACCATGGTTACCTAACTATAATATTCCCTTAGCCCTCTCTCCACCAAACTTATTATTTTTAATAACTTTAAAGTCCAGATAACCAGAGCATGTGTGCTTTGCTTTCAACAACCATGAGAGGCAGCTGGACATGTAGGCATTTCAAGGGGTCCTAGGTAATATTTCAGATTATGAAATTGGCCCTTCCCCCAGTTCTCATCTCTGCACACCAGAACCACCTGGAGCTTCTGCAGCCAATGCCCTGAACTGTGCAAATAGGAACCTCTGGGATGTGTGGTTCTGGCGCCACATTTAAAATCATCCCAGTTAATTCTGAGGCACATTGACTGCTGAGAACTGCTGAACTTATGTATTTACTTACTCAGAAAATATTCATAGAACATTTCAGATTTGTGGGCAATTTGAAGATTGAGCAAGACATGGTTAAGATAAGAACTTAGGGGCAGGGTGGTAAGAATTACACAAAAGACTAAAATGATACACAGTCACCTGAGGGGTTGGGGGAGGGGCTTTAAGGTCTAAAGCAGAGTTGAGGAAAGTCAAATGTCATCATCCCTAGAAAGGACTTCCCCGATTATCCTCAAACTCGCCTGTGACCAATTGGCCCACTCAAGTTTAAATACAGAGGATTCGACTGACTTTTAAAAATTCAGTGCTATCCCAAAGCACTTAGAACAAAATGCAAGTCCTTACCATGACCTGCTAGATCCTGGATCAACATTGGGCCCTTGGGTGCCTCTCAAAGCTCCTCTCTTTCCACGTTCCTTTTTGCCCACCAAGTTCCAGCTCTTTTGCTTCTGGAAGGAGCAATGTCTTTCTACCCCGTGCCATGTGCACATGCCATTCCCTTCCTAAAATTCTGTTTCCTTCGGCTTCTCAGAGTTACCTCTTATCTCTTGGTCACTATTCAGATTTCAGTTTATAGGTCAGCTTCACAGAAAGACACCTTCATGTTCACTTTATCTAAGTAGTTTCCCTAGCATACTTCTTTCATTGAACAATGTTCATTTCAAAAGCAGGTTCATGCCAGGTATGGTGGACAAGCCTGTAATTTCAGCTACTCAGAAGGTGAAAATAGGAGCACAACAATTCAAGGCCAGCCTGGACAAAAGTTAGTGAGACCTTGTCCCAAAATCAAGCAGGTGTGGTGGTCCACACCTATTAACCCAGCTACTCTGGAGACAGATCATGGTTTGAAGCATGAGACCCTCTGAAAATCTAATGAAAGAACTTGGGGTGTAGCTCAAGTGGTAGAGTACTTGCCTATCAAACATGAGGCCCTGAGTTCAATCTCTAGTACCACAAAAACAAATAAACAAAAACCCAATAAACAACAGAGAGAGAGAGAGAGAGAGAGAGAGAGAGAGAGAGACAGAGAGAGAACATATTAAATGTTTGCTTCTATGAGACATTTGTGAAGAACAAAACCCAGACTGCAATCATGTCTCCTGGTCGTAAAACCCATGTGCATGTCTGTAAGTCCCCACACAAATCTAAGTTCCTTCCGACCAGTAGATGCTGTAGGTTCCTATACACTGACATGGTAATTTTTAAAGGTAGCATTTAGTTTTTAAGCTATGTTTTATGTAGTTTCTGTTTTCTCTCTTGAGATCAACTATACTGTTGTACAGAATTATTGCTATTATCTCCTGTTATTTTATAGACAAGGAAACTGAGGCACAGAGACAGCTGATTGCCAGAGGCATAATGTTAATACCTAGAAAACCTGCGACTTAAGTGATGAACTTGATAGTAGTATCAAGTTTTGCAACAATGTCAAATGTCACATTTCATTTGGCCTGGGGTGCTTATTAAATAAGGAGTAATCAAATAATTTCTTTCTAATGATACTACTTGCTGTGATTTTTATAGTTTGCTGAACTGTTATTTTCTTAATGTTTCCCTTTAAATAAACTTATTTTTTAACTAAATAAGTTAATGAAAGATAAACTATATTAAAGTCATAAACAGCTACACAGCTTTGCCTTCCTTAAATAGAAAGGAGTACAAAAACTTCAGTTTAAATATAAATATGATTAATTTCAAATTGGAGAGGGTTCGGCTTCTGGGGTCCACTGTCCGGTAAAATGGATGGTAGCAAGTGGAGACAGGTGTTAAAGACCAGCCCAACACAGATACTCTCTTAGATACAATGTAACAACAGAAGTGGCTACTCGAGGACCACTGTGTTGAACACCCTGGGGATCACTCAACTTGATGAGTTTCGGGTTATCCAAGCTTAATGTTTCCTGCTCACTCACTCCCATGCCCAGTAG